CTGCTGCTGCTGCTGCTGCTGCAGCAATACTGCCACGTGACCGAGGAGCTGGAAGAGGTCTCAAAGGCCTTTGAGGAGCGGCAGACCCATTGTGAAAATTTGCTGAGGCAGCTGAGAGAGAGGTTTGCTGCTGTTGCTGCTGCTGTTGCTGCTGCTGTTGCTGCTGCTGCTGCTGCTGCTTTTGCTGGTGCTGCCGTTGCTGTTGCTGCAGCTGCAGCAGCAGCAGCACGTGGAAGTGCACCTGCAGCAACAGCAGCAGCATTGGGAGCCGCGTGTGCTTGCTGCTGCTGCTGCTGCTTAGGGACGAGGCGGTGCTGCAGCAGAAGGCAGCAGCAGAAGCAGCGCAGCAGCAGCAGCAGCTGCTGCTGCGCATCGGCCGGCTGCAAGAGCAAAAGCTGCAGCTGGAGAAGCAGCAAATGGAGCAGCTGACGGCGAAGACGAGGGCCTTCTCAGACGCGCTGCAGCAGGCGCAGCACAGAGCTGTCCGCGAGGGTTTAGGGTTTAGGGTTTAGGGTTTAGGGTTTAGGGTTTAGGGTTTAGGGTTTAGGGTTTACGGTTTAGAGGCTGCAGCGAGAGAGGCCCTCGGAAATACTCAAGAAGCCGGCAGCTTCTGGCAGCGGTTTTCGAAGGACGCGGATTGCTCAAACTTAGGGTTTAGCGTTTAGGGTTTAGGGTTTAGGGTTTAGGGTTTAGGGTTTAGGGTTTGCCTGGCGCATGCAGGCGGTGGCAGATCAGCAGCGAGATGAAATCGCGAGCTGCTTTGAGGCTCTCAGGACAGACAGGGAAAAGCTTTTTAAAACGGTGCGGCTGCGAGGGTTTAGGGTTTAGGGTTTAGGGTTTAGGGTTTGGGGTTAGGGTTTGGTGTTAACGGTTTTGGGTTTAGGGCTAGGGTAAGGGTTTGGGGCTAAGGTTTTAGTGTTTAGGGTTTGGGCTCAGGGTTTAGGGTTTAGGGTTTAGGGTTTAGGGTTTAGGGTTTGTTTCTCAGAACGACGAAATGGCTCGAGAGCTGCAGCTGTTGACGGAGACGAACAAGGTGGGCGTTGCATTCGGCCAAACCCTAAACCCTAAACCCTAAACCCTAAACCCTAAACCCTAGCCTCCAAGTGCGGCGGCCCAGCCCAAACCCTAAACCCTGAACCCTGGCCGCCAGTTCCCTCGGCCCAGCCCACACGCAAAACCCTAAACCCTGGAGCCAAACGCAAAGCCCTAAACCCTAAACCCTAAACCCTGGCGTTCAAGTCCCGCGGCGCAGCCCAAACCCCAGACCCCAAACCCTAAACCCTAAACCCTAAACCCTGGCGTTCAAATCCCGCGGCGCGGCCCAAACCCAGACCCCAAACCCTAAACCCTAAACCCTGGCGGCGAAGTCCCGCGGCGCAGCCGAAACCCCAGACCCCAAACCCCAAACCCTAAACCCTAAACCCTAAACCCTAAACCCTAAACCCTAAACCCTGCTGCAGGCCTCGGAAGGCGTGATAGAGCGGCACCAAATTAAACTGCGGAGTTTGGAGGCCAACTTGAGAAGACAAAGTGAGGCGAAAGCAGAGGCGGACAAAAAGCTGCAGAAGTTCAAAGAGAGGCAGGAGAAGCAAGAAAGAAAACGCCGCAGTGGTCAGCTTAGGGTTTAGGGTTTAGGGTTTAGGGTTTAGGGTTTAGGGTTTAGGGTTTAGGGTTTGCGGTTTAGGGTTTAGGGTTTAGGGTTTAGGGTTTAGGGTTTAGGGTTTAGGGTTTAGGGTTTAGGGTTTTGTTTTAGGGTTTAGGGTTTAGGGTTTAGGGTTTAGGGTTTAGGGTTTAGGGTTTAGGGTTTAGGGTTTAGGGGTTTAGGGTTTAGGGTTTAGGGTTTAGGGTTTAGGGTTTAGGGTTTAGGGTTTAGGGTTTAGGGTTTGTATTTAGGGTTTAGGGTTTAGGGTTTAGGGTTTAGGGTTTAGGGTTTAGGGTTTAGGGTTTAGGGTAAGGGTTTAGGGCTCGGTTTGCCCCGCTTCAAGGTGCTCTAGGGTTTAGGGTTTAGGGTTTAGGGTTTAGGGTTTAGGGTTTAGCAGTGGTCAGCTTAGGGTTTAGGGTTTAGGGTTTAGGGTTTAGGGTTTAGGGTTTAGGGTTTAGGGTTTGCGGTTTAGGGTTTAGGGTTTAGGGTTTAGGGTTTAGGGTTTAGGGTTTAGGGTTTAGGGTTTAGGGTTTTGTTTTAGGGTTTAGGGTTTAGGGTTTAGGGTTTAGGGTTTAGGGTTTAGGGTTTAGGGTTTAGGGTTTAGGGGTTTAGGGTTTAGGGTTTAGGGTTTAGGGTTTAGGGTTTAGGGTTTAGGGTTTAGGGTTTAGGGTTTGTATTTAGGGTTTAGGGTTTAGGGTTTAGGGTTTAGGGTTTAGGGTTTAGGGTTTAGGGTTTAGGGTAAGGGTTTAGGGTTAGGGTTTAGGGTTTAGGGTTTAGGGTTTAGGGTTTAGGGTTTAGGGTTTGGGGTTTGGGGTTTGGGGTGCAGGGCTTAGGGGTTAGTGCTTACGGTGCAGGGTTCAGGGTGCAGGGTGTGGGGTTTAGGGCTTGCGGCGTAGGGTTTGGGGTCTGGGGTTTAGGGTTTAGGGTTTAGGGTTTGGGGCTTAGGGTTTAGGGTTTAGGGTTTAGGGTTTGGGGTGCTGTGCGCAGTCTTGGCAGCCGCTGAGGATCCTTCTTTGGCGATTAACAGCTTGCTGCAAGAAGAGAATGAAACAATGCGAGTGAGGAAACACCAAGGGTTTAGGGTTTAGGTTTTAGGATTTAGGGTTTAGGGTTTAGGATTTAGGATTTAGGGTTTAGGGTTTAGGGTTTAGGGTTTAGGGTTTAGGGTTTTGTGTGCGACTCAGAGACGGCTTCTTTGCGGGGTTTGCAATGAGCGTTTTAAAGATCACGTGCTGGTCAAGTGTGGCCACGTGTTTTGCCAGGGTGCGTTAGGGTTTAGGGTTTAGGGTTTAGGGTTTAGGGTTTAGGGTTTAGGGTTTAGGGTTTAGGGTTTGAGGTTTCATCTCCGTCTTGAACGATCAGGGTTTCGGGCTTGGGGTTTAGGGTTTGAGATACACATTTTGGGGTTCAGGGTTTGAGGTTTGGGGTTAAGGGTTTAGGGTTTAGGGTTTAGGGTTTAGGGTTTGGCATGTGCAGAGTGCATTGAGAAGAACGTCAAGGCTCGCAACCGCAAATGTCCTCATTGCAGTACGTCTTCCCTCCTTGCTTAATAGCTAGCTAGCTAGCTAGCTAGCTAGCTAGCTAGCCAGCCAGCCAGCCAGCTAGCTAGCTAGCTAGCTAGCTAGCCAGATGCATTCGTAGCTAGCTATCTAGCTACGCAGCTAGCTAGCTGCACAGATGACTAGCTATGCAGCTGCTTACATAGCTAAGTATCTGATTGCCTATATAAACCCCCAGCTAGCTAGCTGGCTAGCTAGCTAGCCAGCCAGCCAGCTAGCTAGCTATAGGGACCTCCTGAGTGCAGTCCAGAGGGCGTACAGTCGCAGGCCATTGTTGCTGCATCCCGTAGTTGAATATAAATAAAATAAATAAATAAATAAATAAATAAATAAATAAATAAATAAATAAATAAATAAATAAATAAATAAAATAAATAAATAAATAAAATAAATAAATAAATAAAATAAATAAATTTTATTTGTTTGTTTGTGCTTACAGAGAGCCAGTTTGATGCGAAGGACATTCGCAGGGCTTATCTTCATAATTGACTGCAGCAGCAGCAGCTGCTGCTGCTGCTGCTGCAGTGCTGCTGCTGCTGTTGCAGCAGCAGCAGCAGCTGCTGCTGGCGTTGAACTGCTGCAGCGCTGCGGCTGGCGCGAGGCGTCAGTTTGTGACTTTGTTTTGTCTCTCGAAATAAAAAAGTAAATGGAAATAAATAAATGAATTTATTTATTATTTTGTCTTTCTGTCTGTACACCGCAAGCCAACGCATGCATGCATGCAGCAACTCGGGCCCTAGATCTTTGGCGGCGACTCAAAAGCGCTAATTTCAAATCTTCGCTGTAAATTAGGGTTTAGGGTTTAGGGTTTAGGGTTTAGGGTTTAGGGTTTAGGGTTTAGGCGTGCTTGGGGGATAGCGGTGTCGAGAGTCTAGGGTTTAGGGTTTAGGGTTTAGGGTTTGGGCCGAAAGCCAGCAGGAAGATCCTTAGATGGTTTATATATATTTAAATATATTTATTTATATTATTTATATAAATATATATATATAGTGATTATTTATATATTTTTATGTAGCTTGAATAAAGTGAGAAAGCTTGAGAGATGAACTATGCGCTGGGCTTCGAGTTTCAGGGTTTAGGGTTTAGGGTTTAGGGTTTAGGGTTTAGGGTGTGTATGGGCGAGCTGCGTGTCTGCGGAGTTGGGGGCAATGGAGCGCTCGGGGTCCTTTGGAGTTTATTTATTTAATTACATTTATTTTGGAAAAACTGAAAGTAATAATTAGAAATGAATTTTCAATTAAATGATTAACTGCAGCAGCAGCAAACGCATGCAGCAGCAGCAGCAGCGCGGGCGCGGCGGGCCCCCAGAAGGCAGCAGCCGGACCAAAGGGTAGCCAGTGGGCTCCTCGTTTTGCTTGTCTTCTCCGGGACTTTTAAAGAACGAAATAATTAATTTTTTTGTCTTTTTTTGCATTTTAATATTTGAAAAATCAAAATCGGGGAAGTTTCACCGCGCCTGCATCGAGGTGTACGTACACCTCAACCCGCGCTGCCACTCCGCAGCCGACAGGACTCCATTTCCGCCATTTTTCCGCCATTTTCGCGCGAATTTGCTTTTCTTTGTTAAAACAATGACGCAAATACTTTTAAAATTATAAATTAAACCCAAAAGCCTCGCCTTTAGCTTCTTTTTGCGCCGGCTTCCCGCGTTCGGCGGCTCCTTCCCAGTGGTCTGCGCGCGCGCGCGCCGGGGTTTGCCGCGAGCTTTCCGTTTCTGTCCTTTTTCTCGCCAGTTTTTTGTTTTTTTTATTTTAATTTTCGAATATTTTCTCCTTTTTCCAACCCGCTGCACTCCCGCCATGTACTCCCAACAGGGAATTGAACGCCAGCGCACAGTTCGCTTCTCCGTGCACACCCCCGAGCCCCAAACCCCCGAAAAGCAAACTTCTGCACTTTTTCGTTCGGCTGTACAGACAGCTCCGGGTGTACAGGCAGCTCCAGGTGTACAGACAGCTCCGGGTGTACAGGGAGCTCCGGGTGTACAGGCAGCTCCGGGTGTACAGGGAGCTCCAGGTGTACAGACAGCTCCGGGTGTACAGGGAACTCCGGGTGTACATGCAGCTCCGGGTGTACAGGCAGCTCCTGCTGCTTCTGCTGTGCTGCGCTCTCAAGCGCCTGCTGCGCTGCACAGGTCCTCCGATGACCTTCCGCAGCAAGAAGGCCTTGCTGCAGCAGCAGCAGCAGCAGCAGCAGCAGCAGCAAGACAGGGCAGGGCGCAGCTGCCCACACTTAGCGGGCCGTTGAGAAGGCCCGCAAGCTTTTCTGTGGGCTCCTCCTCGGGCGTGGCAGCAGCAGCTCCTGCTGCAGCAGCAGCAGCAGCAGGAACTCCACAGAGGGGCTTTTCGAACGGCAGCAGCAACAGCGCCCGCCAGCAGCAGCAGCAGCAGCAGCAGCAGCAGCAGCAGCAGCAGCAGCAGCAGCAGCAGGGCCGCGGGCGGCGGGTGCTGGAGATCGAAGGCACTCCTTCTTCCTTCTGCCGCTTGACAGAAAACCCTTTTCGCAGCAGCAGCAAACAAATGAAGAAAATTGCAAAAGTTGTTTTTATTCCTCCGAAGTTAAAAAGAAGTGACAGTTGTCCTTTATTTGCTGCTCGTTCGCGGCAGCAGCACAAGCCCCGCATGTCGCTTTTTGCTGCTGTTGCTGCTGACGCAGCAGCAGCAGCGCCAGCAGCAGCAGCAGCGCCAGCAGCAGCAGCAGCGCCGCCGCAGGCCCTGCAGCGCAGGTGGAGCCCCACGAAGCAGCAGCAGCAGCAGCAGCAGCAGCAGCTGCAGCAGCCGAGGGGCTTTTGCTGCTTCGCGCCCAGAGGCAGCTGCCTAGAAGCCGCCGTCAGCAGCAGCAGCAGCAGCAACGCAGCAGCAGCAGCAGCAGCAGCAGCAGCAGGAGTGCCTTCTGACTATTTTGAATTGAGAGATGAAGTCCTTTGGCTAAGGGAACAAAACGCAACTCTCCAAAAAGAGAAAAAAGAACTGCTGGCACGCAAACCCTAAACCCTAAACCCTAAACCCTAAACCCTAAATCCCTTTTCGCATTGTAGACTGGGCGCAAGCTGGTAGCAGCTAAATTCTAAACCCTAGACACTGCTAGGACCGTCTGCAGCAAACCCTAAACCCTAAACCCTAAACCCTAAACCCTAAACCCTAAACCCTAGGTTGTTGGTTGCTGCAGATGGAAACGGCGGTTCAGCGGCGCGAGCTGGAGGGTTTGTCTCAGGCGCTGCTGCACCAGGGCCCTGCTGCTGCTGCTGCTGCTGCTGCTGCTGCTGCTGACCGCGAGAGCAGCAGCAGCAGCAGCAGCAGCAGGAACTTGCTGGCCCTCGAGAGGGAAAACGCAGAACTGCGGCAGCAGCTTGCAGAGCTGAGTGCAGCAATTGGTGCTTCTGCAGCAGATAAAAAGTGCGGCAGCTTTTTATTTTGCCTTCTTCGAAACTTCCGCTGCTGCTGCTGCTGCTGCTGCTGTTGGCGGCTGTGGAGCCGCGTCTGTGCTGTTGCTGCTGCTGCTGGTGCAGCACTTCCCGCTTCACCTGCTACACCACTTGCTCCTGCTGCTGCTGCTGCTTTTGCTGCTGCTGCTGCTGCTGCTGCTGCTGCTTGCAGGGGCGGGGGGGCGCTGCCGGCGCTGCTGGCGTCGCAGCTGCGAAGTGCACACAGAGACTTGGTGAAGCTGCGCAGCAGCATGAGGGAGGAGCAGCAAGCAGCAGCAGCAGCAGCAACAAATGTGGGAGCAGCAATGAAGGCCCTGGGAAGAGGCGCGGAAGTTTTTGCTGCTGACCCCAACGACTGCACGCTGCAGCAAGCGGCCCTTGACAGCCAGCTCGTCAAGGCCAGGAGGAGGGTCTTAGCTGTAAGCAGCAGCAGCAGCAGCAGCAGCAGCAGCAGCAGCAACAGCAGCAGCAGCAGCAGCAGCAGCAGCAGCGAAAGTGGCGGACGGTGGGGGCCTGGGAAGCCGCTATTGCTGCTGCTGCTGCTGCTGCTGCTACCGGTGTCTGCGGGAACTAACAGTCGAGATACTGCCTCTGCTGCTGCTGC